TTTGGGTCATGGCAGCATTAGACGGGCCAGATTGAATTAACCAGCGGGCCTGATTTGGCCCGCGGGCCGTACTTTGCTCATGTCTGAATAAGGTCATAATTTCAGGTAGAAATACTATGGGAGTCACTTGGCTTGTCCTCAAACTCGTAACAGAACTAAAATAAGGAATATTGGAATAAAATTATGGCCTAACCCCAAGCTGGTACACATACTACGTTCCGGTGTCCGCCATCTCGGTTTGCATACTACGGGAGTACGCTAAAACTTGTAGATTAGTAATATGTATAAATGAAGGTATTGACGTGTGCTACATTTAAAGATGTCAACCCTTATTTTGTGCATTCATACCCCCTTTTCATCAATACGTCTTGTCCACTAAATGTCAATAATATTAATAATATTCCTATCTGATTATCGTTATTGAAATCAAGATGGTCGCGATAAAGAAACGCCCCTAATTTGTAATGAATATCGAAAAAGTTATGTCAAAGTCGGACAAGCGGCGGGGCGGAGGCTCGCTCAGGCTGGATTAGAGTTACAATACCAACTGAAATGGTGAGAGGAAATAATTTTTAGGAGATAATATTTTCTTTTATTACTGAAGATATCACGGTTCATATTGCATTGTCTGTGTTCGTCCATATCCAGAAAAAAGCACTCTATATGTTGGAATTGCATGGTAGTTATTCTCCAGATTCCAGTAAAAATAATATCAAACAATTTTGTTGAGGGCTTGAAAAAATAAACACTCCTTCATTAAATATTTTTTTCTCAATTTGTACATGTAACTTTTCAGATTATTGACAAAGGTCGATCACTATATTATCATTACTAACCAATTTTATTTTGATATTTTTGCAAAGAAATATTATAAATATAAAAGGTCGCAGGTTTAGTTTATTTGCTGGTATTTTAAATCGTGGCTTCGCTTTATACTACATACCCGTGAACTCTAGAACGATCCCAATTAGGTTTCTACAAGAAATAGAGAGATTAGCAATTACATATTTGGCGAAATTACCATTTCACGGTTGTAAAATTTGAATTGTTTGAATATGGGGAACCTTGCAAAAACCTGTTAACACAAAAACCCCGATTGTTCAGATCTCGACATATCAAAAACATTATTGAATTATTTGCATATTCAAAAGAACGAAAAAGTTGATAATAAATGAATGTTATACATATCTTTATTAATCAAGAAAATTTCAAATTATTATTCTGTTCGTTTCGGCGCCTTACTTTTGCTAATTTGTTACACAATCAAGCGATCGAACCCATCGTATGAGCTCTCAAAATGTATTTTGTTCTTTATTTTTACCAATCAAAAACAAAGAGAAAAGCGAATTCATTAGCAAATCATCTACCGATAATAAAATAATTTATTCTAAAGTTGTTTTTGTTACCTTTGAATCAATTTTTATTTATCTCCAAAATATCTCCTTATTTTTGCAATAATGTTTTTAAAATGGGGGTATGTGATAAAGGTCGTGCGACCAGTAAACGTCATTTTTACTCATAAAACTACTTAGATAATTACCAAGTCGAATATTTATGAAAAAACATATCTTCATACGCCAGCGTGTACGTTTGAAAAATCTTCTTGTCAACATGTTCAACGTTGATGAATTAAAAATCTAGGAGATAATTGAAACATAGTAAGTATGTAATTGAGAAAACACTTTTCAACAATAGTTTTTGACAAGTCATCTCTACTTGAGAACGACTCAAACGAATGTTTATCATTACATTGGGAGAAATGGACAAGATGATATTATTACCTATATCGTATCTTTATATCATTTAATCCTTTATTCCAAGAATAAAAGCATTGTATGCGTGAGGTAGAACCAGCATCGAAGTTATCGTTGCGTGATACGATAGCATTGTTATTGGTCGAAAACAAGTACAGTTTACTGTTAGCAAGTTATCAAATACTGCCACGTTATACATTTAACAGAACATATATGTGAATATTCGTCTTTTCCATCCGGAATTGATTGACTTGTTACAAATAATTAACACTTAATGGAACTTTTATATGCAAAATCGTATATATTTGTGTAAACATATCAAAGACAATTTTTTTTACAATAATAAAATTGAAAATAGATTTTTGTTCCGGATAAAAAATATCAGTTGATAGTTTGATGGTTGCATTCCCGAAGGCGCCATCGTAAATAAAAACTCCAAAAAAAAACATCAAACACGTCTCGCAATTCTTAATAAAAAATACAATGCATCATTTTCTTTGTCAAAGTTAAGTGGTCGAGCGCGCGTGGAAGTACGACTGGGCTCTACGTGGTTTTATCAAGAGACATCAATTATCTTGTTACAGGAAGTATATATATACTGGAATGAAAAACAATGAAAAATTTGTCCGTTATGCTACAGATGAAAAATTCAAATAAGTAACAGAAAATAAGTCACCAAGTGGAGGATAAACCACCAAATTTATTTGCTTTGATTGTCTAAACAATCCACGAGTGAAAAATTGACTGGTAAACAAAATCTATAGCACACGTGTTGGAGACGTCAATCCAAAAGCAAACCACGCATTTCATTATGATCTGCTGATATAAGTTTCCAATGTGTACCACACAAGAAGAGTATAGATAATTATGTGCGTGATTTTATGATGATAAATAAATTTTAAAATGCGTGAAATAATTAGTACTTCACAAACATCATAATTTAATTTTGTTCGATGTCTTCAAACAATATTGTCTCACGTTTTACCCTTTTATAGTCTCAATAAGTTGTTTTTACAGGTTTTAATTCTGCCAATCGTGACAGTTTCGAAACGTTTATGTGTCAAAATAGATCATCAGTGTCGAAATCTTGTCTTATTATCTTATCAGTTATTTAAAAACTAATCAGTCATTGTAATCAATTTCATGGTTCGGAAGAAAAAAATTTCAGATTTGTTATTTGACATTTGTGTCACAAATTTTTTCCCTGACAAATTGTGAAAAATACCTACTAATTGGCATTGGTTTTTACTTTTTGTTTATTGGATACTTTTTCCGTAAAAGACTATACCTAATGGAAGATCATCTTTTTTTCTTAGCGTATATTTCCTGAAGTTGTTTTTGACTTGTCGACATTGTTCTTCGAAATTCGATAGAAAATTGTTTTTAAACATATCTATATGAAAAAGGTGGACACTATCAAATTATTTCCCCTTACTCCAATCAAATTAAATCTTGAAATTGTCAAAAAAAGTTGTCACGTACTAAAACCTCAGCAGTTGAATTCTGAGAAGTTGAAATGTTTTGCACGCTATATTTCTGATGTCATGCCTAACGTCACGTTCAATCAAATTTGGCGTTTTTCATTCTCTCATTTTCCAAACAAAACGTAAAAATATAGACGTGAACGAAAGAAGAAATGTGGGATGCACAGAAAAAAAATGATTCATATACGAAAAAATATATCTAGAACGTCTTGGCTGATTATCTGTCCATAAGTTTTTCTGGAATTCTTTTTTAAAGTTAATTTCACAACAATGGTAGCAATAATGTATCTTTTACAAAGTTGTCATTTATATTATCTTTTCCGAATAATTTCCGGATGCTTATTGGAACGAGGAAAATAACTGGAACGAGTCAATTCGTCTGCGCCATTATATTAAAAAAACAAACAATTCAGCTTCCTCTGATTAATATACCCAATATATAGGATATTAAGAAAACATGCGAAAACCGTCGTAAACCATAAAAAAAACTCGCTAAAACGTAAAAACCTGTCAAAACTTTCAAACAACACTTTAAAATTTACAAAAACCGTCAAATTATATTGTTATTTTGCTATAAATAGGTGTTTTGGTTGATTTTGGTCTGCTACAGCATCTAGTACTTATATAATTACCTTCGAGTTTTTATTGTAGACATCAATTTAGATGAAAATAGTAAAATAGTATATGGATATATGAGTTATATTAAGCAAACTCAAATGGACGTATCAGTAAATCTTTATTATTTAGCAAAAACGCCATGGCAAGTATATATGATGTGGCTATACTCTGCGGGGGATTGTAAGTGAATTGTAAAACAATCTTGTTTACAGGGTCAAATCGCGATACCTCTTTTTGTTTAAACTTGGTGCGCAACCCGACTCTCTTTAATTAATATTCTTCGTATGTGAGTTCACTAAAAAGTATATTCTTGACCATTCGACTTTCTATCATTCCCGACGTAGCCGTCCGCCACATGAATAAGTCTATCCCCCTCATTGGATAAATAATTTGGGCTGTTGGGTACTAAAACAACTTGTTATTTTTTGCAAAGTACTTAATGTCGTAAATACTCAAATTATCTCTAATTTATATCTAGCAATTTAAAATTCATGTTAACCACGTTTGGCCGGGTAAAAGAAACCCAGTTTGTACAAGGCCGGGTAGCATACATTTTGTGGGTGATATATCACGTCCGGTAAACACGCGTATAGTTAGTATTATCACCATTGTTGGAAAGTTTGGCTATCTATTGAAATTTTGATTTGGTATTATTATCGACAGCTTAAGACGTTATTTGTCATTTCTATTGTATGATTTGTTGAATTATTGAATTTACACAAATGAGTTTGGCCAATCATTAATACCGTATAATTCCTATCTGATAACTCAATTATAAGTTGCCCAGGATTGGTCAAGTATGAGCAAAACAGACATATTTAGTGATAATTATCAAAAAGAACAAATATATCATACCAGTGTTTAAATTCAGCATTTTTCCTATTGTGTTCCTTACGTTGTTGTTGACCAAACATTTTCAGACGACGAGGCATTAAGCACTCATATATTTCTATGACAAGTTATTAAACGGCAGATCAGTTTCACGAGGAATAGATTTCGATCAGAAACTCAAACATATTTATATATAAAATTTAGGAAATTTTTATTTTTTGGTCTTTCTGGAGTGCTTTAAGTTTAATTTTTCGGTAAGTATTTGCCCGATGTCTCCGCAATAGGTAGTTGGATTGTATGCATAATCGCAGTTAAAGAAAATCTTTTGTCATATTTGAGCGCTCGAATGCAAGTGACTCTGTAATTTGTTTTATCCGACTGAAAATATACTTATTTTTATTTTATAATGACAGTAAGTTTGCGGCTAGAACAGTGTAGAAAATTGACTATCAACAGAATGATACAACAGACTAGTGAAAGTTTTATTAGAGACAATGCAAAGTGACAAATACATTTGGTTGAGATGGATGTGTTGTATTACTCAAATATGCCTTTAAATGTTTGTAGATTTTAGTTGAAGCTGAATCTGTCGTCAAACGATACCCATTGTGTTTTACATTCATATACCGATATACTTATTTAAATGTGAATGGCCAGTTCGTGACTTCCCAATCGCAATTTCATTTCGATATTATATATCTTGAATAGAAAATAAATATTGTCTTAGTCAAACAGTTGGCGCGACTTTGTATCTCTTTATATCGCCAAATTTGTCTTTCGTCGAGCAAGAACAAAATGTGGTCGTCAAGCCTATCCCCATTCATGACCATTTCAAACGATCAAAGACAAAAGGGAAGCATTTTAAGTAAAAGCGAGGTTTTGTTGAGGCCGCAGCCCGTCATTAAACAAGAGCGAATTTTACCGCCGATTGACAGAAGCCGTAGTCCGCAACGCAGAGTTGAAAACGCTAACGAGATCCGTCTAAAAGTTACATCGTTGGCTGTCAACGAAGTGGATTCGTCACATCAACAACTAAAACAAACTCAAATTTCTCCACTGGGATTTATATCAAATTCGGGAGATTTGCATGGCTTCGTTAACTCACAAAGCAAATCCCATTTGAACACTCCATCTCCGCTTGTAACGCCAAATATAAGAGTTCGAAACTGGAGTTCTAAAAGCTCTACACCTCGTTTGTGGCCCGCCACAACCCAACAAGAATCAGAATCACAATTTACAAAAACAAATCAAGCGAAAGTTTTGAGCAAAAGTGACGGTGCAAAGCAACTTCGGACAGTGAAACGCAAAGTGAATAAAAGACTTGCACCGTTACATATGAGAAAGAATAGTATACGAGGAAGAGAAAATGGCGTAGGAGCCTACCAAGATCAACTGATGATCCATAGAGGAAGTGATGTCAGTACAGGGGACGGATTCAGGACTCTAGTACCAGGAACAAAAAGCAGTATAGATTTTGTAACTTCTCCAGGAATTGGATCGACGATGAGATTGAGAGAGAATCGACTTCAATTTCCGTCGACATCGTCTGCTTATTCAGATTCGTCGGGACCCAATGAAAAATTTATTCCCTTGCGACGCCGGAAGAGCAGTAACACACTGGTAAAACCCGAATTTCAATTAGCCCCAGTCAAACCACCAATCAGGCGCCGTTCATCAGTTGCAAGTGTCAGCTTCCCTGACGTACTACGAGATGCTCGACTCATTCCAAAATCGCGACGAGGCGTTATTGCCGAACCACGATTCTTCAGAACCAAGCGAATTTCATCCAGAAGAACGTCTTCAACATCCGATGACGTAATTGATGAAAAATCGAGAGATTCATCGTTGATTAGAGATGAAATGTCGTTGTTCGGAACCGTAAGCTCTTACTCGAAGTTACCAACAATAGGTCACGGATTAAGGTATATAATTTTTGATGTCGAATTAGCTTACTTTTTATACGGTTGACCACCAACGGTCTATTTATTCGATCACTACATCACAATAGGAAGCGTCTATGTAACTACAAAGCGGGCGTCAATTTCAGTATATATTTGTTTTCTAGTGACCATTGTGCGATATTTGGTCGCTGGTATGTGACATCGCCCTCAGTATTGCCACAGGTGCGGTTACTATAGTTGTCGGCATACATGCTCAAGTTATTCTACAAAGTTTACTATTAGCTATCACTGTTTAGCGGAGGTCCCAAGTTGGTGCTAAATATTTTACCAAGCTTCAATAATTATCTGCATATGAACGCTTAACTCTTATTGTGGCTTTATAACACATCATCCTGTTTTGAGAAGTGAGCCTGTTACGTATTCACTAATGTATTTTAAATTAGTATTGATGCTTTCTAATATTGGATGATACTGTCTTTTAAGCCAAGCTCATCGTAGACTCAAAGTTGGATACTTGTCACATCAGTTTATACGTGAAATGAGGCAGAGGCGACGAGAAAGGGGACCGAAAAAATCTGATCGAGCAACACTTGTTGATGCAGTAGGTTTCTATGGTTAAAACAGATTTGTACTAATATATCTTCTATCGGGTTTCTCTAAATTTATGACTATAATGCTACAAATATTGAAACTTTACATATAAAACATATACATGATTTAATTTACCATTATTAAGTTTTACTCTTACTTACAGCCGATCGATCGGTTTCGGAAGATAGCCAAGAGTGTGAGATTGCTTCTGCGTTGTTTGCACGACTATAGAACAATAGCAACAGTCTCAGAAACAAGTCAAATGCCATTTTCAATGTTTTCAAACGACATTACAAGCGTCAGAACTTATCCAAATGGCCTGACATTCGACCTCGAAGAATATCGAGCAAATAGTGAAGTAAAGTGATTTTTATTAATAATATAAATATGTTTGCCAATGTTCCTCACAAAATAGTAAATCTATGGAAGCCACTTCAGTCTAGTGTTCTCTAGTACTCTTGGCATTGAAGGCACAAGTAATATCAAAGGAATGAGTTGTAATTCTTATTTAAGTTTTATTATTCAACACTATATCATACATCAAATCTCATCAAATGTTAATCATGTACAGATACAGTATAGTCATCACATGATGTATACTTATGGCATTTACAAGATTTAACTACATAGAAATATCAGTTAGTTTTAATAGCGTTTATTAATCATCACTTGTGTCGTTTGAAACGAATTACAGAAACGAATCAGTCCAGAATTGAGAAGAATAATGACGTTGGCACCTTCATTGAGAACAGAGAAAGAACTTAAATTTGTAAGTGTTGAATTTTTTCTCCTTATTCAATACTTTGGATGAAATGAAAATTTAGTAATATGTATTCCATGCATGGGGTAACTAAATTACCCAAAATCATAAAATCACTGGACTGAGTTACAAAGACTATTTTTCGCAAAAAAGAGAGGCGACGATAATCAAGTACGGTTTAGTGGTAGGAAGATGCACTAACCTAAACGGTAGGGATTCATTTGAAACAGAATGTTCAATCACTTTAATTTCTGTTATTAGGCATACTAATGCAATTTTGATTCAAATCTCTGAGAGAAGGGGTGTGCAACAGGCAGCCTGCGGGACACAACTCGCATGCCAAGACATTTAGACCCGCATGCCAAGACATGAAATCTCAATCCGACAGTTTATGTTTACAAAGGCGCAAATATGGGTAAAAATACATGTTTTTGTGCTCTTTTCGCAGGGTTAAATCGTTCGCCGATCTTTCCGATGCCTTTCTAACTATAAGGCTAAGCGATAGCGCACTCTCTCCTCCTGCTTTTCCCGCGGCGCTCTGGTTGTCGCTAACGTATTTCGTCAGTTGGGAAGGGTTGCTACAACTTCTGTTGAAGCTGATGTTAACGAATGATTCATTCAAACTCGAAATTTCAAGTGTTCCACTAAAATGTTAAAATTTTCCATTGTGAGAATTGTTTAATTCGGTATGGCCCGCCCACAAAAATGTTGCACCCCTGCTTTATAGTATATGGCTATGGAAATATTTTCATTATTACAAATACTACAGGCGCTCAACAATTTGAGAGTACTCGCTGAATCATTTGGTGAATTTCCTATCAGAATGCAAGAAGCCCTTGTACGAGTAACTTGGCTTGATGAGTAAGTTATTTTTTACATGATGAATTAAATAAAGATAACCTACATTCCTGTAATAATAGAGAAATAGAGAGGGTGGACATAATGCTCTTCGTCAATAATGTTTTTACGTCATTTGTAATAACTAACTACATTATATTTTGATGGAAAATTGCAGTCTGTATTTTGTTTTCAGATTTGAAGCAAAACGTGTTATCATCAGGCAAGGCCAGCCTGCCGAAAACTTTTATTTTATCGTAACAGGGAGTGCCCTAGTGTCAAAAAATAGAATCGATCCAAGGACAGGAGAACTTTTTGTTGAAACTGTGAGTGAATATTATATTTCAGAAAGTTTTTTAACTTGCCGATTGAATAACTCTCATCTCGTTTGAAAATTTATTAGCCCTGCAAAGTCTTATTTCCTTGTATGAGGTTTTAGCCATATAGCTGTAGAAGTTTAAATGGTGTGTGTGTGTGTATTTAATATGATTATCCAGATATATAACTTATCCATTCTAGTAAAATTTGATACCTATAAAAAAAATCTTCCTCGACATTTTTTGCCATAGAATTCTTTTTAGGACGTATTTTTAAGTTTTCTCTATTCCTTCTGTTCCTATTCTCCCAAATGAGGCAGTACTGTACACACATTTGTTTAAATCTTTCGCTATTCAGTTTTTTTCTATTGACCAATTGTTAGCAAAGTTTAACGTAAGGAAATACCCTATACATATTAAAAGATGCCCAAAGCTGAAAACCAATGTTAAAGTTGTGAAACTATCATACCATAAACATGAATAATAGGATCATAGCACCAAATACAAAAAACGGACCAAAAGCGTCTTTGTTTCAGTCTATTGTAGGTAATATAGGTTGCCGAGCAGATCAGTTATTTGAGAGCTAGTTACATAATCGGAATGCCATTATATAAAACTTTGAACAATTTCTGTGTCCAGGTCACCATATTGAAGCGTGGAATGAGTTTTGGTGAACTTGCAATAATGCGGAGAGAAACAAGAAGCGCAAACGTTATCAGCAGTTCGTCATTGGCACTTTTAACAGTACACAGAGATGATTTCGTGGATATATTTATGCACAGGTAAACACCTGTTTTAAAATTTTTGTTATTCTGTTCTACTGCGCCACCTTCCGGTTGAATATTTTACATACATGAGTGTTGAGTGAACTATTGAAAAGTAATGAGTATATGCTTGGCCAATTGCTTGGAATGGAAATTTGAAGCCAAGATAAGGAAAAAAAAACAAGGCTTGCATGTAAATATTTCGCTCAGTTTTTGTATTTTTTCGCTCGCATCGTGATATTGAGTAATTGCGGGTGTTAAATTTTTTTGCTTCGTATTTAAATCATCATTTTGAATAGATTTACATATTTTTGAAAATTATTTAAGAATGGATGGAGAAGAGCCAGAGTTCATTTCTTTTCTTCGGAAACGACCAGAATTCGCCTTGTTTCCTTTGCAACAAATACCTCGAAATAAACCCCAAATTTGTGCTTTCACCTATTTCCGTGTCGGTGTTGTAATATGTGATGAATCTACAGCCAGTGACGTAATTGTCATTGTGAAATCGGTGAGATAATTTGCATAATTCTAATCTAGACAAATAAATTTTCTGTCAAACGTTTTCTTTTCGAGAATCTCAGTTATGTGGAAATCACTACCTCGATTGCTGTTTTATGATCGTGGTGGCACCAACTGCTTCGAATAATTCGGAATATTCTATCGTGTTGTGTCGTGCTTTGAGCGAATTGTCTCGAGAAAATTTTTTCTCATATAATTAATGATCTTGCAAAAGCACAATATTTTCATGAAAGCGAGATAATTAATAAATTCTAGCGTTGCTCAAATTTACGTATTTCTTCTTTATTTGCCAAAAATTATATATATATTTAATCATTTTAATATCTCAGGGTTTTTGTAAAGTTTTGAAAGCGATGAAACCAGTTACTGACACTTTAGATGAACCTACGTCTCAGAAATTCAAGTTCGAATCTTCATTAATTACTGGAACAAAGAAATACGATGCAGGTGTTTATACAGGTGTCTTATTTATTAATACATACGATGGATGACACACCTCTCTATTTTTATTTCCCTTCCCTACTTGATTTTTGTTAAGTTCACAAGCAGGCTACTATAGGCATATTATAAATTGGTTTTGAAGTGTCAGGCGCAAAAGACTTGAATGGTTTAACGCGCCCTATATTTTCTTACAACACACACACTCTTGTAATCCAGGCGATGGTGTCGTTAAAAGATTGTACAGAATTGGAAACACGGAAATAGTATGAACCTTTCATTGATTTGTTCGTACCATATATAAACAATAACAATTTAAAAGAAATTGATTGGTACATTAGTTGCAAAAAAGCGATTTATTTTACATCAACAATCTCACAGTGAATAAAATTTCAGTTAACAACGAAGATCATTGTCGTGACGTCACAGAGAGTTACAATGAATGGATGACGTCACACCCCCTATCCGTTGAAACATTAAAACTTATGGCGGATGATGATGAATTAATGAAAAGAGAAGGTAACTATTTTTTACTCAGTTTTCTAATAGATATTTCCGAAGCTATTTTTGCTTATATAGTTAAATTTCAGTATATAATATTTGATCGGTATAATTTTATTCCAGGCAGGCGAAGGCCCTCACTCATAGAAATCGAGCACGATACAGATCACGTAAAACTAGCAAAGAAATTAGAAAGCTTTGTAAGTTAAATTATTTCTTGGCTTTTTCTTTATTGTAATAGAATGTTTTATGGCAATATTCGTACTACCTCATATTATATAGACTACAGATCTTTGATCACCAAGTTCACATTATACAACTGTACTTTTGTAACGTGCAAAACAATAAAACGTTCCGAGCTTTCGAAATCGCACGCAATCAATTTATCAGGGTTCAAAGTCAGGATAAGATTTCCGGAACCCCGTTGGATAATATTGGTTCATTTTTTTTTTCAGGGAAGTCCTTCGCCACCTCAACCACAACAACCTAAAGATCTTGTTTACATTCATGTTCAGACATTATGTGAAGGAGATGTGTTTGTGAGTTCCGTAACGATCTTAATCCAAAACGTTTTATTTTTTATCAACAGCTTAGTGCTGTTTTGTGTAAAACTTACGTTGCGATAGGCAGACGAGCCGAGGAGAAAGTTTATACTTCGGTAGGTAATATATTGCTGCATAATATTGGAGGGACATTTTATATCCAAATATTATTAGAATGTATATGTGCGTATAGCGCTCTCGTATCGGCATGAATAGCAAAAACTGCATCTAAATACCGATTACCGTAAAAATTTTAAATTTTCATCCCCAAATGTTTAGTTTTTCTCGTTCTGCAGGGATTAGCACCATTACTATTTGAACCATCGGAAGGAGGTATTTCAATGTCTCTAGTATCTGACGGAGCAGAATGTATTTTACTTAACAAGAATTTTTATTTAAAAAATATGGACGCAGAAATAAGAGAAAAATTAGTTAGAACGGTGAGTTAATATTGTGTGGAAACTGTAATTTAAAAGATTTTTTTATCGCACAATGCTGTTCTGGTTTGATTAAAACACTTTTTGAATGTAGTTCAGGTGATGGGATTTGCTCATTTGTTTGGGAAAGCTTTCTAAATTTCCTACTCTTCTTTTAAAAAAATCCTTTAATTTAAACTTTGTACAAAATTGGAATTATTCAATTAAAGTCTAAAAACTATACTTGTATTACAGTAAAATCATAAAATTTCCGATCGTATAGCCTAATGTTTATATTAATTTGTTATATATATCAAAAATATATTCATACCATTGTAATATTTTTGGTAATTCGCTTTTTATTTCTATGTTTAGATTCAGCCTTATCCAACAGAAGAATCGTTACAAGAAAATATGAAGAAAAAATATATATGGGAGATCTTCAAACATCAAACGATGGAAGATTATTTTACAAACAAACGAACTTCTTTTGCATTAAAACGGAACGGATTTCAACGTTATAGATAACTGATTCATTGTATTAGGCAAATCAAGACAAAATTGTTTATTGCCAGATATTGTCACGCAAACATGTACGAATGGCACTGTGTAAAATAACTATGATCTAGCATTATCCATTAAGAGCATCCGATAAATCAGATCTGAATCCAAATATCCTGGCTCGCACTATCACAAACTTTGTTCTGTAAGGTTTTGAAAATAATCGTTCATTTCTTATCATTATCGTAAACTGCCTGTTTAAAAAGGTTTGACTTTAGTCATACGAAGCGTTACACTAAAATTTGCAAAAATGTGATGCAAAGCTTTTTGGACCACACTATATAAACGTTTTGATTCTTGATACAGGTTCCTCAAATCCTCCGGTGAATACGGATCAATAACACATATGCTAAGAAGATGAGCAGTAGTTACGACAGTCTACTCTTATCAACCATATATTAGGCGTTGTCGAAAAACGCATCTCAGTGTTATTTCGAAATTTCTTATAAGTTTTATATCGATCATTTAGTATAATCCCGAATTCCAACTACTTTAAAAACACTTACATATGGCTTATCGTTTATTTTATTTTGTAGAAATACAAATCTCATTTTTACATTTGTACACATATGTCTTATATAAAAAACAGATATTTTCAAGAAAATTCGAGATGTAATTTAAAATAACGATAAACTGTTGAATGGCACTATTGCCAACATTGTGAGATAGGAACATTTTCAAACAATCATTCACAAATCTCAACCAAAAGTACATCTGCAAATATAAACCACTGATCCAGTGTGGGTTTTATATTGAAATGTAAAATGTTCAAAGTAACATTACAAATAGTTATATTATTTTTGTTTTAACATGCAGCAGCAAGCCGCCAACTAATAATGTTATTTTGAAATGGTCAGACTATGTCATGATTACAGTCTGTGTTCAGTCTCCAAGAAGCTCACGTTCGACGTGATCCGTCCAGTGCTACATAAGCTGTAATCGATTCAAGTATGGCGTCTGGACTCAGTCATTCATAACTCAACAAGGTCACTATTTACACACCCAAGATAAACCAACCATATTATTTGTCGATGTCGCCAAAGTCACATTTTAAGGCCTTCCATTGGTATTGATGTTGTGTCTCGCAATTATCGACTATAGTCGCAATATAAATTTATTTTTTCACTTGCTATTTCAAAACTATAAAACGATATCAGAATATAATATTGAAAATGCAAGTGAGCACAATGTCATCAACAATGCTGGTAGATGTAATCCATTCGCAGAATTGTCTCCACAACAAGAAGTTTGACTTCGAGTCAAAGTATCTGCAAGATCGGCTCCAGGTGAAAGTTCCAAATAAGGCGAATTAATGCCATTTCCGGCTTCAGCATCTCTAAGGTATTCTTCACCTAAGGCAGCTTCAACTTTTTGTTCAACGTTGCGAACACTACAGCGTTGAGTACGGCAATACTTGATTTCTGGTGACAACGGGACTTCACGTTTAACTGTTTTTTCTCTTGGCCGTGAAGGCGCCATAAGTGGTAAAGGATTTCCTACGTCTGAGTGTCTGTAGTCACCGTAAGGCTGCACTTCAGGTTGCTGATATGAGTTTGGGTTGTCAATAGTGCGCCAGCTTGAATGTGTTTGAATATTTTCACCCCTCCAGTTAGAGTAGTATGTGTAATCGTCTTCACCAAATGCCATGCCTCCAAAGTCATCTTCCATGTCCAGTGGAAAAGGTGTACCGATAACCATCCCCTTGTTCGAAGCAGTAAACCCACTGGGCTCGGGCAATTTCGTCTTATCTTGTAATTTTAACGTTTCCTCGGTGTGCTCTTCTAACACTATCGAATCTCTACGAATTCCTTGCGAATTGGCTGCTTGACAAGTATAAATACCTGTAGCATCAGTACCTACTAAATCTCGGACGTGGAGAGTTCCATTTAGGGATACCCAGATATTGTTCTACAAAAGAAAAAGAAGATGATGAATGCAGATCGTAGGTAAATTTATTAGTAACAAACTGATGAAATGCCAATTACCTCGGTGTGTTGAGATCCAACTTCACACACTGTACACATTTGTTTGCTTTCTGAATCCATTGATCTTTTAAGCCGAGTATTTTGATCGAATACATGGGTAGCGATATTTTCAGGCAAACTACGTTTTCGCGTGGCTGGCTTTGCGTCGCGGGATAATATGATCCAAGAAACGAGAGGTCGTGGATATCCACTGGCAATACATGTCACGTCAAATGATATAGGTTTGTTTTTATCGACTAGAAGTGTTTGAGAACCTTTGGGATCTAATCCAATTTTTTTGATCTTTGGAACCTGAAAAAATATGTATATATATATATATAAGTACTATTTTAGTTTTGTTCAGAACTTATTCAAGAAAAGTTAATAATAATTCTAACAAAGCAGAAATATCTCAAAAAAGAAGCATTTGATTGAGAAGTAAAAAACTTTGGTATTATTTTTACTATTGGCATGTCAAACCCAAATATAACAAAAAAACGGCGCTCCAGAAGTATGCGTACTAATATGGAGATAACTAATTTTGTTCGCCTACTCTATACCAGGTTGTGTAAAGGGACTGAAACTTATGGGCATTCACTTGGCTAACACAAACAGTCTCTGAACTCGTAATAAAACTAAGATAAGGAAATTCGGAATAAAACTATGGCCTAACCCTAGCCTGGTACACATACTACGAGAGTACCCCAAAAAACAGTATATTTGATTGATTTTCCGTAATTTTCTGGCAATATATGTGCAACTGCGAGAAAAAAAATGAATATTCCTATTGATTTACCTCACATTGAAAATATTCTCCTTTGGGCACAGGTCGGGGTAAAAAACGAATCTCAAATCCTTGCATTGCTTGTGGTTCTGCACAGATGACCGGTATTGAAGGCTCGTGATAGTAATGAGCTTCGGCCAACCATTTCAGCCCACAATCACAAATCCATGGATTGTTACCGAAGCTTACATTTTTCAATTTAGATCCCAGAGCTGATTTCTGAAGTAAAATAAAGCTTTCATTTTGGTAGTTGCAGGGATGGCCAAAACCAAATATTTTACTATTCCGAATACATTCTGAGAAAATATTTTCGAATATCAAATATCGAATAAATTCTAAATTGATAGCAAGTTCATGTGGAAAATTACATAATCCATATATTTTCATGTTGATCATATTCAAAATGACATAAATAAAAAGATAAAATTGTTTTTTCTGTGTTTTTCAATACCAGTTGAGATATCGTACTTTTATATATCCCATCTGTCGGCTCAAAATTCCTAATTTTTTAACAACAATGTTCTAAATTATTCCTAAATTCAAATATTTACTATATCACATATTATGAATTTCGAATGTATTCGAATATTCGATTCGTTTCAGACAACCTTGGGTATTTGTAATAAATGAAGTTCTTTTCAACTTTGATGGAAGCTGCTCAACGAAGACTATTCAGTTGCTTGACATCTGAATTAATCTTCATTACTTTTATCTTAAATACTCTTCTGCATTCTACAACAATTGGCAAAGTCATTTATTTGCCGTACAAGAGATTGGATAGCTCCTGTATTGAATACGATGAACTTAAATCTATTTCATTTTATATGGATAGCTATTTCTGGAATGGAATTTAGAATGCAGATAAAGTATTAATATATAGTTTGCGTATGTATATTAACATCAATTTTGAACGTTTTTGTTTGGCTTGTATAACATGATATAAAATAAAATATTTTATCCAAATGAATTCATATCCAAATTTGTTTTTTAACATATTAACCAACTGTGTAAAATGTCTTTAATTTAACGAGGTATATTACGTGTAAAAGTGTGTGATCGCGCAATGCTACTCAAAGAGATGCTATTAAAACCTGGGAGATCGAATCAGAAACGCATTGCTATTATTACCTGGGAGATACGAATTAGAACCAATTTGTCACAGCATGTCATTTCGGTAAAGTAGAGTATATGGGTCTTCTATCTATGCTAGATGAACAAGGATTTAACCCATCCTTAATATGTGATTCCACGATAACCAGCAGAACACTAAAACAAATTTGGTGTTCATGATATAGATGGAGTATCGATATCGTCTTTAGTATTTCTGGTAAAATATAGCTACTATTTAGAAAGTTAAAAATAAGGATAATTCTTGAGTTTCACAAGCACAAAAATTTAATTTGCTACACAACGTAAACATTCAAATAATGCTTGGCCTAAGTTACGTACACATTGACCTTACTAACATTTTTAATATAGTTTCTGAAATTAATGAAATCTTTCAGAAATTTACTGTATAAATCGTCACAGCTATCTTTCACATCCAAATTCGAAGCGTGTTTCCAAACGCCTGATCAAATAATAGAACAATTCTCGAATATATAGACACGAAATTTAAAGTGTACTTATACGTCATAAAAAGTGTTTCCAGGAATTAAAATGAAACAGCAAAATGTTGAGTGAAATACGGGTATCATAGAAAAAACTCGATTACAACAATAAAAATAATGCCTTGTAGCGATCTTGAAATTCATTTTTTCCTACAAAAAATAATTTAGAAAAACTATCCATAATTCTACTTCATGTCCATAAATGATGGTTGATTCTTTCATTATCATCATATGATATTATAAGCGATCGTATGACTATGACGATATGACAAACAAATAAAAGAGTACGAGGTTTGACCTCGACCGAATCATGAATTTTAATACGGTGCTCCGGTCCCTGAAACCGACACGTAATAATTTTCAAAAGAATTTTTTACTTCTGAAAGTCAAACATTTTCGGAACCACTTAATTTTCCTCAACAAATATTTACTCAAAAAGTGATCGTTAAATTTGAAGTTAGTTCCGCCGCAACATAACGTATAATTTAATGAGAAAATTCCCCGCTTGACGACAGCGCGTTCACCCATTCTCCGGTCTTGTGTAGTCGTCATGCTCTTCACGAAAATAAGCATGTACTAAAATGTAAATCTGACGTATATTTAGGTTGGCAAGACAACGCGAAATAATTGTCGATGGTATCAGTAATATATCAACTATTACTCCTTTAACTTTTAAACAAGATTCGTGTTTCTATACAGCTAAAATTTGTGCGACAGTAAAATTTACTTATTATTTTTCAATGTTTATATCAAGCGGACATGTAGGTATTTAGGATTCTCTCAAGGTCAACGGCATTTGACATTCTGATTATGCATATCGGTATAAAAGTCAATTTACATGATTAAATAGAGAAAAATATTACGGAATAAGTAATCCCAGCAGTCAAGCAACGATATTTTCAGTTATATGAAATTATTTATCAATAAAATTTATCTTTTTAACGGAAGAATAACGACATCTAATTTTTGTCATTTGGTTATGATTCATTATGTGAAGCAAAAAATAAATTTCTTCGCTAGAATAGGAATTAATTTGTAACTGGTATGAAATAGACTAAGAAGCGTGTCGGGCGTCAATTTTTAGATTTTTTAACATTTTTTGGTCACTTGACAAACTATGATATTGGAAAAAGAAAAATGTGTTATAGTGACTGATAAAAACCCTGCGCTTTGCCACACGTCCTGTCTCGCTATATATCCCAAGTGGGATAGTGGTCATTAGGCTGGTATCTGGGAATACTAATTTGCATACTTCGAACAGGAAGGTAAAATGCTTTACCAGGTGCTAAATCGCGACCTCATACCCATAAACAATGAAATATATATAATTTCAAACATCTCTGAAAATATTAATTACCTGTAGAGTCGACAACATATTTCCAGAGAGATCGAGAGATGCAAGGTGAGGTAATGCGAGAGCATTAGAAGGTATGTATGTAAGACCTGTCTTCCGGAGATTCAAAACCCGAAGTCCTTGCAAATTCTATGTAAAAAAAAATTGAAGAAATTTTAAATAGTTACATAGAAAAAAAGTAGCAGTTTGGAAATCATTATATTTCTACCTATGACTAAAATTTTAGTTTGAGCTCGTTTTTCCCTCTTGATGTATGTACAGTCTGATTTTTTTTTTTTGCTTTGTTACCTTTTTTAGAAATGTATGACAACATTTTTGAAACTCAAATAAATTAGAGCTATAATTAGAAGAATAATAGATAATTATAACTATAATCATTTTGTCTAAAAACGAGCGAATAATAAAACGCCAAATAATCCATATGCGTTCCAATCAAACATCACGCAAGAAAACTATCTATAGTTAACATGTTTGTACGCACAAAGACTACGCATTGACGACATTTTTTAGACATACGAAGCCTAATTTGCTTGTTTTCGCAAATCTCTTACGTAAACGGGTTGTAATGGGATTCAAATGTATTTTGCGTGAAAAAAGACAAATCATTTCCGCTATAATTGACGTAACTGCGGCATACGTGATGCAATCAAAAAAATTGACGTAAAATTAAGAAAAATGTCACTGTTTTCAACAGATCTAGCTTGCTCATCTATGAAATGAATATATACACTGAAATGGCAAGGGCTTAAATCTTGACTTTGACGCGTTGCGGTAAATTTAGTTATGTCATTTGTTCACAATATTGAATTAGTTTGTAAGTGAACAAGCATAAGAAGTATTTTACTTTAACGCTAACATGAATGTTTGGAAATAGTAAAAGCAAAAAGTGAACATTCAGATCCTCAGGGAATAGTAAAATCGATGAATAGGATCAAAGTACTCGTCGATGGTCTTGGTCACTGTTAAACAAAATTCAATGAAGGCGACAGCGAAACTAATTTTGTTTATTTGTGAAAACATTGGGAGAAAAGATTTATTCGTTGTCATTAACGCCGAGTATACTAAAACTTGAAGTTATCACAGAGCTAACGGAAATAGCAGATGGCATAGTTAATTTTAAATGAGGTTAAATAAAAACCGCTCTTATCAATCTTACATCAGAATTTCAAAAAATTTCTCTTTTTTACTCTCTCCTGGAGTATCTACATTTCAATAGCACGTTATAGACCTCGGTTTCATCCAGGAGTACCTCAACCAGAGTGCAATAAATTGAGTGGGCAGGCAATACGGAAACATAGTAGTTCTCACGTATCAGTAGTTTTTAGTTCGTATCTTTGTTTGGAGCGAATGTGCCGAACAAACCGTGAAAAATCCACATTTAATTTAAAGACTTGCGAGAACAATGTTGTGAAATCAAAAACTTTTTTTTATATGAGGGTCAAATAGATAATCTCCTTAATACTCCTTTTCTTGGCCAGGTCATGAAATCTGAGTCATGAAGTCATGATGTCTGGCGGAGTCATAAAAAAGTTGAATAATTTAAAGTTTTCATCCTCTTAAATAAATGACTTCATCAATGCTATATATGCTATCATTAAGTTGTTGACGACGACTTTTGTTGTTTGAAACTTTTAGGTTTGAGAAAACCTTCATCGTATTTGTAGGAATACCTACTGAGTGACAAGATATTTTATACAGTACAATCAATCATTCAAAAGCTTCTACCTTGAAATCGTTTATTGAAATTGTCTTCAGACGATTATGAGATAAATCAAGTTCTCTTAAGCTGTCTTTGACGTGTTCCAGTGCATCAACCGGTACAGATGTTAAACCGCAACCTCGCAAAGAAATCACTCTTAATTTTGTTGACATATTCAAAAGATTTGGGCTTATGCCATCTGCAAGTTGAATATGCTCCAAATATAGTTTTTCAAGTCTGAAACAATTATAAAACATTTGACATAAAACACTGGAAATAACACTGGACCATTAACTAAGTAAGTTGAAGTTGAGCCGGTTTCGAATAATGGCGATACATTAATAATATTAAAAAAACAAGAATGACATAATAAAACATTAGAAATACTCACTACATAAAATATTAATTTAATGAAATATTCGACATCAATTGGATGAGAATTGTTTTAAAACGGTAAGTCGCCTGGGATATATTAATATTTTTCATAGCAAATTAGACCTGAACAATTAATTGAGTAAGTAAGTTTATTTTGACCTGGTTTCGAATAATGGCTATATGAGACTTCAATACAAAATAAGTAAATTTTAGCCCAAAACATCATACAAGGATCTATATATATATATATACCCCTATGGTAGTGCGCTATTTAGTTTTTAATCCAGTTGATTCACAAATCAAATTTACTTCAGAAGGTAGATCAAACTGCAAAAATATTCTACTCACTTTTCATTTTTCCACAATAAATCTTCAGGTATTGACTTTACTCGGAGAAAATTTCGAATCACGAGAATTCTCAAGTTTGGTAGCGTGTGAAACATGCTGGAATCCAAAGATGCGTTCATTCCTGACATCTAACAAAATAAAATAAAATTAATCACAATGCTATTCTTGCCTCAACATGACTAAAATTGTTTTTATCGTGTTTGAGTTGACCGGATATCAATCGGAACATTTACTTCCTCATTTATTTCCATACCAATAAACAAACAGCAAGATGTCCCAGATGACACAACAATTGGAATTGAAATTCATCAAGAGGGAGTTATAGTATAAATGAGCCATTACAGCAACAAAATGTGGCAGATGACAAGAATTTGTTAGTGGAGGTTTCAATCAAAATGTGATATATGGTAGATTCTATCTTCCAAGTATTTCATGAAATTGGAAGTATTTCTCAATATTGAATGATATTTGGTAAGTATATATATAAACAAGAACGCTACTCTGGGTTAATCTGTCTTGGCTGGGGGCTTTCAATCACAAGTTGACCTTTATAATCTGACTCAGGTTTAATCTCACCATTTTTTGCGTGGGCACTTGCGATCTTAGATATGAAATTTATTTTAGGAATTTGTATGGAGTCGATCGATTTTGTATGCATCATTTTGATCCATTTCCCGCGGTTTATGCCAACTCGTTAAGTTTATCATAATCAGATCCCTACCTCTAGTTTACGGAGACGCGGAAGACCAGCAAAAGCATCCAATGCAATGCACATTGTGGGATTTCGTAGAAGATATAGTTCGTCCAAGTTGTCAAGTCCGTGGAAATTCATGGGAATCAATACGAGTATTTTATTTCCACTCAGATGGAGTCGTCGCAGCTGATTCGATTGTGAAAAAGCATGTTCTGGTATTAATCTGGAACAAAACAAAAAATAGAAGTTTTAATTAAAAATGAAGCATAAATAGACAAATTATGATGTACATATAAAGTAACTTGGTTTTCACCTCGTTTAGCACTGAATAATACATCCTAAATGTGGAATTTCCGATTTGAAGTATAACTGATTGCCAATAAGATAATGTATTTCAAGATATCGGTTCTAATTCAGAGCATAAGAGCGTTTGATACAACTTCACGCAAGTTTTGAGATGATACAGGAACATTACTTAAAGTGTGAAACATATTGTATTCAATAACAAAGTATAATTAGAAATAAAATTAGCTGAAGATTGTCTTAATTTCCTCCAGAATAATTCAGAGCTCAGTGTCTTCGGGGACACTTGTTCGGAGAATTTGATTTTGTTATGCATACTTTAGTCTGTTGTTATCCAGTCGAAGACTTTGTAATCGGGAAAGACTTTGAAACGACGTCTCCGCGATGGTTTCGATTTTGTTAGAACTCAGATCAACTTCTGATAATACTCGTGTAGTTCTGAAAGCCGTAGGTCCAATTTTCTATTTGAAAAATAAGAGCAATCACTAGTAGAATAATAATATTTTGTGCATAATAATAAACATCTAAGGAATGACAGGAATCAAAACCAGTTCGCCACCGGTCTTTGTAGCGATGTGATGACTGATCGTATCTGGTTTGTTGACGTAATGAATACAAGAAGGAAGAAGTACTATGCACTATCTATAATACATTATTAGGTTCGCTTAGCAGTTCTTCTACATTGTCAATATCTGCGAAGAGAAGTGGTTTATGTCTGAAATGTTTTTTCTGGAAACTGAATGTAATATATGAAATCCGATTGTGACTCGAATATAATAATAGAACATGTAGAAAGACTGGATATAAATACAGCGAAATACCAGCTATTTTGGTGCATTTTATTATGTCTGATGTCAGATCAAAACCAAAAGTAGTCATTGAGTTCCAATTTTGTTGAAAACGAGCAAATGCACTTGTTACTCAAGATTATGATGCGATATTGTCAAGGGGGAGCATATCGGCACCGGCCCGGAAAAAGTAACTGAGTCCCATACCGGTCTCTTTTCACCTCGCTATTCATGAATAAATAATTAGTCGTGTTTCTCTTGAACGAAAACGTTATTCAATTCGCGGTTAACGCGAAAACGAGAATTTAAGCCGTGTTTCGATTATTCCTAAGAATTTAGCAATACAGCTATTAAGTTGGAAACATGTCAACACTTACTCAGCTAAACATGGCGTACATGTAAAATGAATCGTTTTGCACTATGTCCTTGTTTGACTAACACAAGAACTGCCAATATTGAATTCGAATCAAAGCGAAAGTTATACCCCCATTTTCGACATTTATGATGTTAATTACATACTTTAATATCGATTTTCTGAAGCATGAATTAGCCATGTAAATCAAGGAGATTCCAGTTAACCTGAGTCACCGATCGGAACTTAAAACAGATTTAAATAAAATTTATCTAAAATTTTTACCGCCAATAAAAAAGTTGATGGAATTGTGGCCAATTCAAGACATCATTATAAAAATGTAAGGACGAAGTTCGTTCGAATTTACCAATATTATAAATAAAATATTTGGTTTACAAAATTCAATGCGCAATAAAAAGTTATGAATCGGGTATTTCCTTATTAATTGAACAACAATACAATAAGAAAGAGTTGGGAATAAGCAAAATAAATACTTTTAAATTTATGGTAACGTGAGATTGTGAATATCAAAATGTCATCAGAAGAAACACGAAATTTTTTTAAATGAATTAAAACCTGCGTTTTTCAAATACAATGGAATTTTGAAAAATAATGACGATAATTCAGCTTATATTTATATTTAGTATTTTTGTTCTTTGGAAAGCTTCGCTATGTTTCATTTGCTTTCATTCCTTTCTCGAGCACTTTGATACGATCCTTATTTGAAACGTGATGCCGTGATTTACACCAAGTTGTGACAAATCTTTAAACCCAAAGCCGACCTAAAAATACGAGACCTATCCGGTCCCTCAAAGCTATCTATTGCAATCATTGGAAAAGTTTCCAGATAACATGTTTTCTGAGAAAAAAAATTATTACAAGTTTCTCAATTTTCTTTGACTCGAATTTGGGATAATATTCAACTTAAAAATCAGAATGAAGAAGGAATATGACGAATTCTTTTTTAGGTAAAATTAAAAAAAGAAATCGTCTCATTTCTGGGCAAAGAAGGGTCAATTTTTGAGGTGAAGTGGGTGTGTCTTGAAAGCTTTTTGACGGAATAGGATCTTCCGTAAATAAATACATCATCGCCTCGTTTCATGTCTGTTTCTTGCTATCGATATCATTTCACATACACTGGCTATTAATTATTGATAAAACACCTGAAATACAACCAAAAAATCTTCACATGTATTGCCAATAAGGGTGATTTATTATTTTTATCATCATATTACTGCATTTGACACTTTTCAGCTAATTTTAGTCGCAATAAGTTCAAAATCTTACATGATTTACTATAACATATGACACCGCAATCGTTCGACTCCTATATATTTTTAAAGTGTTGTGTGAAATACCTAATTCAACTAAAACTGTTATTCATTCCAATAGTTTTGGCTTCCCTATTATTATTATTATTATTATACAAATTAATTCCAATTTCAAATTATAAATCATCCAAAACATACTTCCATTTATGCGAATGTGTTTAGAGTGCTTGCATAATGCAAACGTCATTGTGTGGAAATACCCATTGCTGATGGACTCGATAACATCACCGTATGGGGAAAGAAAACATCTCAAACATAAATATTTAAATACAATAAAAAATAAATATTTAACATTTCTTATTTGGCACAGTACAACGTCCTACCGTTATTCTAGTAAGCTATCACTAAGTGTGGAGTTACCGTTTCTCACACAAACTATTTTTTAAATACTACACACCCCTGGGGTAGGTATAGGAGAAAATGCAAATGAGTGCTGACGAGTAGTTTTTAAGGAATACAGTCAAATAGCGTAGAATCGCAATCAATCTCTCGGCTTGAAAATACTGTTTACTAAAATTGATGTCGTGGACAAATTTCAAACATCAAATCAATTTTAACGAAATTCTCTAAAGTGAATAATTTCTAATTAAAGGTATCAGTTTAATCTATGATTGTAAATAAATAATTCACTTGTTACTCATCGAAACTATAAGCCGATGCACTGACGAATGTGGCGAACTAGATATCAACAGTGTATACAATTTTTTGATTTTTTGCGCGGGGGAGACCAGAGTTACTGGCAAATGTACCAGTTTTTCTTCAAACAAAAGTCTAAAAAAACTAAAAAAAATGGGCAGTTGTCAAAAACAATCGAATTTAAATGTCCATGAATTATTTTACAGTAAACGACGCAAACTATAACTCTTTTGGTTTTGCCTAAATATTACAATCTCGATATTTTGGTAACATTGTGTAACAGTACTTTTACTTATTTTTTGATTTCACTTCGATAATCTAACTATTAGTTGGCATTACGCAATACTAACTCCCTTTCCTTGCTCTATGCCAGGGGTCGGCAACCATTTATGCCTCGCGGGCCAAAATTAAGGTTGCAAGTCATTGGCGGGCCGCACATTTTTTTAGAAAGTTAAAAACCGAACGGATAGTACATTTTATAATAAAAATCAAGCAGTGATACACCTCTCGAATAGAGTATAGATTTATTTCCTCATTGCATCTCATAAAATTACATTTACCTAATTTCAGCACCATCGAACCCTTTGAACTTAGCATGAACTTTTCTGCGTTTTGTTGCGACTTGCTTAATTATAATTAAATTATATGCTAATTAAACGAGTAGTAATTATATAATTGTTGGGTTATAATATGATTTAGTCTAAAGAGTATATTCGTCAAAACGGATGTTTTGTTACTATAATTTAGTGAAGCGTCTCGGGTCGGGTTATAGTGCTCCTGCCCGCGGGCCGTAGGTTGCCCGACCCATGCTCTATGCCTTCGTGGAAGTGGATCCGAATGCGTGTAACGTAAGGATGCTCGGGCACAAATAAAGATGACTATATACTATTTTATTCAAGAGTCTTGCGGCACACTAACACAAATATAACACTAACACAACTAACTTAGTTGAAAACTACTTTTCTGAAGAAGTCTGCCCTTGGTCAGACGAAACGTTTCAGAAATACATTTGTGTTAGTGTGCAGCAAGACTCTTGAATCAAATAGTCTTCGATAATCTATGCAAAATATTAACTATGTTATAATTTCTCACCTTTAGTGTTGAAATGTTGATAGTTAATGATCTGGTATCGGATGGAATCCCAACCGGTAATTTGTACTGCAAGTTCGGTGTCCGAGAGCAAGTAACAGACCTACAAAATTAAAAGTAAACAGATTACTCTTTTGGAACTCAATGACTGTCATACCTGTAAAGCAAAATATAAACATTTTATGGAATTTAGGGAGTTGTTTATATATATAGAGAGGATTTATTGAAACTATGACACAAAAACATGCATGTGTATGGTTCTTCAGAATGTCGGTATATACGATTTTTTATAAACTTTGTAAATAATTATTGAAATATTCATATGCGGTTGTTTCTAAATTTATTTATAAAAAAAATTGGCAAATTTTGATAGGCATCGTTTGCATCCCACTGGTAATATTTTGAAAATTGACACTTGATAATTGATACTTAAGATTTTTGAAGTCTTATTGATAAAAATACTATAATATTTGTGAGTAATGATGAGATTATGATTAGATTCTGTTTATTGCCTTGTACTGTTATCTGCGAAAACATCTTTATTTTTTGATAACCCATTGCCCCCATCACCAAATCGTGCTATGGCCTATGAACAACCCAGATGTGCAAACTCTGAAAAGATATTCCGAGTATATTTCTCATACATTTGGGTTTGGTTTTTACTATTTCAGAGGAGTTTTCAGCTCAGTTACTGGAATTCACACCTTGGTAACCAACCAAAATTTTAATGAGACGACCGAGTGATGTAACCTGAGATGTAATAGGAATACTATTCTATAAGATGGATTCTTTGCGACATGAGATTTTAAATCATGATATCTTGTAAAGTTGGCGATGTATTAAATAAAAAGCTTCTCATGTATTATGCAAATCCTCTATAACCTGATAACGTCTAATGTTCACAGAGTAAGGTCTGAGCTGTTTTCATCAGCGCAAGTCAACAAGATCATTATGACTTCAGCTATTTTTAGTGCGACGCGAAATGTTCAGCAATATGTCTAAAAACTCATTTATGAATTTGCATTCAAGATTAGATATTCAAGTCATCTTCTCATCATTAATTAACCTAAAACTTTTGTATTTAGTTGAATATTGGGTATGTAGTCTGTGTCATTGTTTCAAAATTAGAGTGGGTTCATGATATGAATCACGTATATATCGAAACTAATGTATGTTTTATGTACGCATTGAATCTCACAAAATCGATAAATCAAAAAAGTAATTATGTATGTATATATAAATTTGATATTAGCCCAAAATCCCAATTCTACATAATCTATCAAGTTCAACAACATACCATATTTTACTTCAGATCAGAAAATATATTTCCAATACGACAGCTAAATATTTCTGTCTTTCCATATTGGCGGTTACGAATGTATAAATACGGTTTTACCCGAATTTGTAAATTCTTCTTATGATTGAATGACGTTACCGGGCATAAGAAATGGGGTAAATATTAAACTATTCTCCCCAATATTATTGGATTTCATCGAATATACCATTAGAACGCTTCCGATTGCGTACATTCGGCGTTAAATTACCAAATTTATGTTGACTTGAGAAAATATTCTATTCATTCATCGAGGAGATTCTGCACGAAGGACTCACAAACCACATTAAATATCATGTGGATATTCATGAGGTTTTTATTGAAGCTTTCACCCAAAAATCACATTTATTTATTATTCATAGAAAACGGAATAAATTTTCGAATCATAATTTTTTACCTTTCTCATTTATAAATTTAGTCATTAGAAGCAGTTTATAGTTATCATGACAACAATTAAAATTGATACTGTTAAAAACTTGCAATCGATAGAATCAACGCAACACTAAGACTTAGATTATCACTTGGACAAAGTAAATGCCGAGAACCAGCTGTCAGAATATTGGACAAAAGTGTTTAGAATTATCGATTGCTCTGTGCATGATACTGACATGATTTGAAGTCATGGCAACAGAAGTGATTTATTTGGCGTCATAGTGGTATGAGATCAAAAATTATTCCCCTATTACTTACGGTACACGCGGATGTGCTCACTGAGGTCATTAGCTCGAAAGTATTAGATACTTTGTCGGAAATTTCAGTCACCAAATTTTTTAATATTTACATTTACATGATTGGGATGGAAATGTGAGAAATATCCAAGCTAAGCTATAAATATCAATTTTCATTTTAGAAATATCTTTCTCGATTACGATAGGTTTTGAACATTGTCATGCTGCAAAACAAATTATTCCTGGACTTCATACCAAATGTCGATCATAAAAAGATTAAACCCTTTCGGTCTGATGCCGTAATTAAATCATCCATGCAAAAATGTCGTAGCTTCATAAAGTATATTATCAGCAAATCAAGGGTGTTAAAATTTAACTTATATGTAAATTACTTGAAAATTTGATATGTGTTTTATCATAATGATTCATATTGGAAATTCGAGGCACAGGGTAGGTATTATATTCATGGTGTTCAGTTGCTATTTATTTAAACTCATGCAATAAACGGAGAGTTCGAAAAACAGCAGGATTTCCGTACCGTGCTGGTTGCGCAATGCCTAACAAAATTGAAGCAAATTCAAACGCATTTCAAAAGTAACAGGATTTATAGCATATATATCATTTTGTGTTTTAATTAATTGTTCGTGTGATCAAGTGAACAAAATACACAAATATCCATAAACTGAGAATATAGAAACGGTCGTTCATAATATATAAAATGAATGTGAAGAAATTATACGTACATTGTTGCTCTTTCGCAGACGCATGTTGGAGTATCCGGACACGAAATTGTGTATTCAAAAACCAACATAAAGTAGCAAAATATCATCCGACCCGCACGATTTTCCAGCATGATGATGTCACAACTTAAATAGTAAAATTACACTGTAAAAACACATGCATTTTGAGTGACAATTACCATTTGAATCCTAATCAAAAACTTATAATTAGATAGCGTTCAATAATTATGGGACAACAACTCAAATAATATGCCAACCTAAGCGAACTTATAACCGATTACGCCAAATTTGATTTTAAGTGACGTTGCAAAGTATTTTAATCAACTATAAGAACCATTTGATTGAATAGATGAAAAATATGTTCATCAACGATGTAAACTGTTAACATATACTCGCAAAAACGTCCAAATATCGGTTCCTTCCTGTAAACTTCCGGCATGTCTAACGCGTACGCTCGCTTGCGGACCTCATTGTAAATACGATGAAATATTCATTTCGTAAAATGGTCGGTTGCCCTTACCTTGCCCTATGTAGAGCGGTTTACATTATGCTCAAAAATAAAATGCTCACAAAGCCGTAATAACATATATTTAAAGACGTAGTGCATTTTCTAGCGTTTTATGCCCAAAGTGACAAACTTTGACAAATGTCTACGCACCACTTCTATGCATAAATAATGCAAAAGACTTTGGCAAAACGGCATCTCGTTTCTCAGTTTAACTAAAAACTTCAAAGCTTTCAGCATGAGTTAGAAATGCCTATATTAGAGGCTTAACGTCGATGATAGACGAATTTAATTGAAGGATGATATTATATATGCAATGTAACCGATGAATAAAAATTAATTTATAAGCTGGTATATGGGGATATGTTAGTGGCAAACACAAAATAAAATAGTTATAATCTGAGAATATGCACGTATATGAAAATATTATAAATAGTTGCATAATATTAAAGTATTTATTTAAAAAGTGTTACTCTTATTTTATAACCTGTGAAAATTTCTCAGTCTGCCTTTTTCTATTATGCATAACCTAGTCCTAGACTATTGACTTCATGAAAATTTTTTTATATTGATATTGACTGCAAGAAGAAATTTGAAATAGCACCTATATTCTCGAATGGCGAAGCTCAAAACGTAACCAACCATATTAACATACTGAAACTATACTGTATGTTACGATCTCTCTCAGATGCCCTACTTAAAGTTCATGATTTCGAATGTTTGAATTTGGATGTCTGTAACTTTTATTCTCAAATGTACCAAAGTAAGCATTTCAAATAAAAATATATCCACTGAAAATTTTGTAACTGATTGTAACTTTTATTCTCAAATGTACCAAAGTAAGCATTTCAAATAAAAATATATTTCCACTGAAAATTTTGTAACTGATTGTAACTTTAAGTTAATATTGACACGCTTCGAACTAATCATTTTCATCTAAACATCTTTCCTCATCATATCCTTTACATATACAACCAGTTGTGGAATTTGTAAACTATAATATACTTTTTTTTACACCCGATCTCGCCGTTACCAATTTTAGAATTCGTAAAAATATTCTAATTTCAAATCAAATTTCAATATCCATGATATCCAGTAATAATTAGCACATGCCTTCACCCTATTGCTAAAATCGTCGATACAGACTGACACTGCAGCTCATATTTTAGTCTTACCCTCTCTCGGCAGCGTCGTCGATTTGGAGCTATAAATTGCTAATGAATCCAATGTCACGGAGACTTTGCATATTAAATAGCACTCGCAGTACGACGGCGAATGGCAAAGTTCACTATATACGAAAAAATAGGAATATATAGTTTACGTGTCCGCCATAACTAGAACTAGACTGCCAGACCTTCCCCCTATGGCAGTGGTTCTTAAACTTTTTCGAGCGCGACCCAAATCTGAGTTTTATGAATACTCGCGACCCAATCCTAAATAACGCAAAATGTGTTTTTAATGTTAGTACAGTTTGACTCAAATACAGACAACTATTTATTAGAAACAGTCCATTGACTCAGGGAGATTGATGAAACTGAAATTTCCTTTTCATTATATCTTCAATACACAGCACTATTTTACATAACGCAATACGCAAGTTGTCACGGGTATCGAGGCGATTGCGAGCTTAGTTTTGATAACCGTCAGTGCCAAATATCCTCGCTCGCACAAGTGCCTTGTCGCGAATTGTAGCAGAAAAGGCGTCCGCTGTCCGTCGCAAACACGACATCTTAGCTGGCCTTCGGTATCTCTCGCAATATACAACTGTTTACTCATCAAATGTGCACACACTGCTTCGTTCGCGGTAAATGGTGCCTCGAGATGAAGTCACATTTTCTCTAGATATTGAATAATCTAATGTCGAGAAGCGAGCTTTTTCATTGCGTCGTCTATTACAATTTACAATACCAAAAAGACACCCATTTTTGGTTATTTTAATCCACTAAGACGGCATTCCACGCGGTCAACACAACGTTGCATGGTTACCGATACCATAAAAATAATACACGTGACTGGCATATCAGAATTGTGATGTAACAATGAGCTCAAGACAGTTCTTTCCGTGAATGAAATTTTATATTCCATTATTTTTAAATACCAGAGTTTAGAAGCTAAATTGAAATATTGGGAAATCTGAAAATTCGTCCGTCTCCTCTTAGATTGCCCTTGCATTGACGACCTTGTCGCGACCCATTTTTAAACCTTCCGCGACCCATGTTTGGTTCGCGACCCATGCTTTAAGAACCACTGCCCTATGGCGTTTGAAAGCCTGCAATCTATCCAGGTATACTTAGTGGCATTTGAACGTCAACCATCACATTACTTTTATTTATATTCAGAGCAAAAGAGCCAAATTCATCAATGTACGCACGAACCTCGTGGTTTGTGCACGCGTCCTCATATCTTTACACATTAATACTCGACTTTAGTATAATCGATGATCACCGAAATATGGAGTATCGTAGGCTAAAAATTATTGGTTATTATGTCAGTTTTTGGGATCTTTGTGTGCTAAGTACAATGACCAAGCTATTAATGATCCTATCAGAAGTTTTTATTTAACAATAGTTGGTCACGTACTCATGTAGTGATTTAACATTCTCGGTGACCGTACATTTGAACCCATGTGTAAATCCGCGGGTTCAATCTATATGCGGGTGCTAAAACCCATGAGTTTAGGGTTAGTATGAGTTCAAATATCCGTAAAACAAAAAAAATTCATAATTGCAATGGTATGTAGGTGCAATTGTCGTGGGTTCAAAGTAATGGAACCAACATGCGCATGTCTTGTGGATGAATATGATTTACTGACATGGATCTGTATGGGTATGTTGATCCCAAGGTGAAAAGAATCGAAAATACGATTTAAGCATATGTCTTACCAAGATTTGAGTGAAACTATGACTCCAAATATCTAGTTAATCTTATCAGTTAGTTTCAAAGCATGAGGTTCCGTTGCTCCCGCACATGCTTATACCCCACGGAGTTCAAACCAGCGCATGTTAATTAGCGATTGCGGTGGCGCGCCCCAACCGCGGCAACCGGGTTCGACGAAGAGTATGTTGTTCATCAAATAGCAGTACAAGTGATTAAAGATAAAACGTACCATCTGCACTATTGAGAGATTTGGGCTATGCCAAGGGTTAGCAAGGATTTTGTACCACCTAGTTCGTCGGGCCATGTAAGAGTGTCGTGAAAAGTTACATTTTATGAACAACATTTACAGTGTTACAAAAGCAAAAATGGAAAACAATGAACCTCGTGCCGAAACTTAATTTAATCGTAATCTCAACAAATCACTTAAGCTATTTTCAGCCAAAACATTAAAATTGGGTTTGGTTGTCGCAATTTTCAACCTCAAATACAACTTACACAGACTACGATTAGAATCCAACAGGCCTTTTTGCACCATACAGATTTCAAATATATACAACAACTATGTTGTGTATGCAGAATTAGCTAAAAGAAGAAATTCATTGCAGCGTCAGGCAAGCCAGATTGAATTACACAATGGCCCGGAGTTGACTCGCGGGCCGTAGTTTGCCCGTTTCAGGTTTATGCAAATCATTATTAATATTCATCCCAAACAAAGGAAAGTTGAATTGAGGTCAGAATATTATTATTCTGTGTATTTTTTCATTCCGATCTTATATACAAGGCAGGGTAGCGATGCTCAAATATATGAATACGAAGTTGGTATGCAATCTGCCACAGTAGTACTACCGCTACCGTACCACAGCTGACCGCCAAAAATCAACTTCCACCAAAGAGGAACCACCATAAGGAGTACAACTTTTAAACTTGATGACGAAGTGATCGCAAACGAAAAACGAACTCCATAGAGACCAGCACAGAATTTTTGAAATAAAAGTAATAGTCTTCTAGCGGAAAAAAATATGTATAACCATTGAATATTACAAAGCGATTTGTCCATTAGTTGATGAGAAAAGTGATTTTTCCATACGGTTACAACAAGAAGAATAGGCTTACTAACAACATGATCAACAACAACATAATAACATAACGATCCATATGCACATTTCGTGTCCAATAAAACCATCAATGAAACCTTATCATTATTTGGTATTTTAGTAACGGTATCACACTGCACTTTAGATCAGTGATTCTTTCCCACTAGTGTGCAGTGGAAAATTCTCAAGTGTGCGATAGAATTTTTCGAATTAACGACAAATCACTTGGGTTTCGTATAATTAAATAGAGTATTACTATTTTTAAGTTTAAATAACGTTTGTCAATCGCTCAGTATTTAAGGGGCCCACTGATCGTCGACGAATTTCAAACTTGCCGCAACTTTTTCAAAAAGATTGAGAACCGCTGTTCTAAATAAAGTGCTAGAGTTAATTTACCAAGTTGTATTGTCCACACAAGACGTTCCAGATATACCTCCTCTCGAGTATTATTGGGCAGGAAATCGATCTATGGATGGTTCTGCTAAATTCTTGTTGTTGTTGTTGAAAAAAAAAGCTTTTTACGCAACTAACGAACTAATCTAATTTCAGTATTTAAAAATGAAAGAAGTCGTCGGAAGGTTTTTACTTTTGGTCTATGAACCCGTGCTTAACCGCTTATATAAACCGCTTTTTAGCTAACTCGGTACTCTCGGGCTTT